GGCCATGGAGGCAGCAGGAGCCGGAGCAGCGAGGGCCTTGAGTGCCGAGTGGGCGTGGGGTGGGGCGCAGGGCCTCTCCTGGGCCTCGGCTGCCCCTCCTGTGACCGTGCTTTTCCGGGTACACCGCCCACCCCGTGCTTTTCCCTTTGCACACGGGAATATCCGTGTCCAGACAGCATCCATCTACAGTCGCTTTTCCATGCACGTTTCTTATTCAGTGCTGTGCCACTGAATTTGCAAAGAATCATATGCATTTCCTGCATCACTTTATATTTTCATCTTGTTTTTATTTGTTTTTGCCAAAGACCTCTACCCAAACTGCGGGCTCATTTCAAGCCCCCAGTGTTGCAGACTCGTGCAGTGCAATTGTGGGCTTCGTGCATGGTAGGTTCACAATGAGTGGGCTTTCATTTTGAATATTCTTTATCAATCTGGTAATTTGCGCCAGTTTATTGGCCAGTAGCTCTTGTTGAACTAGAATTCTTGCTAACTCTTGATTTCCCCCTCTTCCTGACCACACCACAGCGTCTTACTCTCAAGCCAAGCACCCCCTGACCCCATTTCCACTTCTTCCACAGCGTCCCACTGCGTTAGTCGTCCCCTCTAAGGCCTTTGATCTCAGTGCCACTCTCAGCCCTTCTCCGGTGCAGCCTAACCGGCTGCGCCCGCGCCTGCATCCCACTGACCCGCGAGGGCTGTCTACGTGTTTGTTTCCCCAGCCCCTGGTGCAATCGCACAGAACTGTCCTGACTGCCTAGTCTGAAGTACTCTCGCTCTGCTCTGGAGGACTGATTTACCAGGGCCCCCGCGTGGAGTGGGCCACAGAGCCCAGAGTTCTGGTGAATGGGCTCAGCTGGGCTTCTGCCCCAGGGTCCTCAGCCTGCTCCCTTCGGTATGTGGGACGTGCAAGGTTTTTAAGGAACATGTGTGGGCTAAGGAGTGAAGGAAAGAACGGATGTGGTGGTGACGCTCAGTCACTGTCTTTTCCCGAATCCTGATGAACTCTACTGTATCCCAGAGAGGGTTCATCAGCTTTCTAAGAGTCTGCGATTTATTGCCCCCAGAAGCAGTGTGGTGATCTGCCCTATGGGGCCAATTCCCTGGCTGAATCTTTACATAAAACCCACAGGAACCAGGCTTATTTTACAGCAAGTTGTGCTGCAGTATTCAGGTGTGTAGGGCTCTGGAGGACTCAACAAATAACCCTGAGTCACAATGAAAGGAGTGCCTGTGTCCCGTTAGAGCCACCCACGTGCCTGTGTGAGTCGGGGAGGACACACAGATCTGGAGGACCCATCTTTGGGCACTTGGAGGCTGAGAACACTGGCCCCTCCCTGCCTCCATCTGGACTCATGGCTGACCCTGATGTCCCCTCCCCACAGTGGCAGATTTGCATTGGAGAGTGTGGAATGCATTTTTCCTCAAAGGACTGTGCGTAATACTGGGAGGCCAAGAATAAATTTCTAATGGGGGGTTTCCACAACCTTCAGTCTACAGCAAGAGCTGGGGAGTTGGTCCACCGTGGAGGAAGGGTAGAGGCAGCATATTCTGGGCTCCCCAACCCTGCATATAGCTACCTCTGCCCAGAAGAGACAAGGATAATTAACAGGTCAGAAACTGAACCTCAGGATCCAGGACGGGGCTTGACTATGCAGAAACTACCAGGCAGCTGTTCTGGTCCAAGTGCACCATGGTCCTGGTTCCTCTGAGTAGTGCTCTGTTCACAGACCCAAAGGAAATTTGATGAATTTGGAAGGGAAGGAAAAAATGGAACACATTAGAAATTTTATGTACAAATAAACAGCCTTAAAAACACCCGCTGGCTCTCACTGCTGTGACACTGGTTACAACTGGGCCAGACATAAACCTCTCTGGCTGACCATAAACACGGCTTGATGGGTGTTCCTGGTTTTAACACACAGTACCTACGGGTGAGAGAGAGCAGGGCATAGGTAACCAGCGTCTGCTTGGAGCCAGCAACCGGGGAACTCAAAGCAGCGCCCCGCCTTCCAAGCTGTCCCCTGGTAAACCAGGCCAGGTAACTTTCCATCTACTTCATTTGACCACAGGAGTCCACTCCCCTCTGGGCCACTAGGAATTTACACTCTAATTTCACTTTTTAGTGGCGGAAAAGACCACACCTGACTTTTATCTTGTATTTCAATGTTAATTACACACACACAACTCTCAGAAGTAAACTCACAGCTCCTGCTTTTCATCATCAGATAAGACTGAAGATAATTTAGAGTTAGTTGATTGGAATGTAAAACTGTCAGGATTGCGGTTTGGGGAGTCACAATGTGAATAAGATACAGAGCTAGCAGACAGCTGGGGGACCCTCCAGGGTGCAGCGCTCTGGTGGGGAGACCTGGCCAGCTGGCAGGCCAGTGATCGCCCCTCTCCTGGGACTCCTGCAGGTACCCATCAAGAGCCCTTCACCTTGCTTTACAAAGGACAGCTTTTCCCAAAGGTTTGAGCCAGCCATCAGGTTATATTTACTTAGCTGGGTTGGGGTGTGGCGAATAATTACATTCAGCAGGAAAGGAATGTGCTTCAAAATAAAAATAAAAACACAGCCCCGCCCTTCTGGCCCAAACCCTGGGGCCTCAGAGAAGAAAGCCTTCCTTGACTCTGAACACTCAGGGCTGGAAAGGTCTCCCGTCCCAGCAGAGTCCAGACTGACAGCAAGGCAGAAGGCAGAACTTATGGACAGGTGAGTCTGCGAATTTCTTTGTAACAGTGTACTTTTATCAATACATAATCCCCAAGGAAGGATTTTAAGGAAAAGTATAGAACGTCCACGTACCTCCCACATGTGAAAAATGTGTATGTTGGGTTTCGGCTTTCCCCAGTACCTCCTGCCACTGTTCCAGCCTTAGGCATATTCTTGACACAGTATTCTTCAGAATGGGGGGCCCTAGGGTGCCAACTTAGCAACCTTTATTTGTAGAAAGGCGATGAAATGAAGAACAACATGTCCTCTTGTGGCTTATTTGCAACTAATCAGCGGCCCGCCCTTTTTCCTACAACCCACGCACCTGCCTTCCAGTGGGCACGGCTCCGTGGCCTGGCAGCAGGGCCTCCTCAGGAGGGCAGCCCGGGCCTCTGCCTCACGCCCTCCCAAGCAGCTGCTTGGCCACCATGAGGCCGGTATTCCTGGAAGCGGAAAAGATTCCAAAATAACTCACAGATCTAACAGATATTATCAAAATGCCTTCCACACAAATGCATTAGATAGAATTTCTTTCTTTATATAGTGAGGCTTGTTTTGGACAGACCTAAACCATCAGTTTCCACAAATAGGAGAAAATTCATTATTTCCTTTCCTACTGTATCTGTGCCTCTACTATTTCTTTGGCTATGAGAAGATGCTTATTTTTCTATTTAAAAAGTGGAAAATATACAATAAAGCAGTTAAGAGAATAGTGATTTTCATTCTGTGCCTATTTTTCCTTCTCCTTTCCTTCTTCCTTACTCAGAAACAGGGCTGTAACAAATGTGCTACATTCTGTGATTCACAGATGTAATTAATGTCATAATTAATGTCACAAAAATGCCTGCCATATTTTCAAAAACATTAAAGTACAGCTGTGTTTAGTGAGAAATGGCCTCTTGGTAGTCAGCTTTCCGTCACTTTAACTAAATACTTCCGATGGTCAGTGTTTGAAGAGAAAAGGTTTCTTTCGGCCCAGAATCTCTTGGGCTTTAGCCCAGGATTGGTGGCCCCATTACTCCCGGCTGGGGCAGAGGCGGGACACGTGGGAGGGAGAAAGAAGACTGCGGCTCAGCATCCCCTGGCCCGGGGGCCACCCCACCCTGTGACCAGCAGCTGCACTGGGGACCGAGGGGCACAGGACCATGGGCTGCTCCAGGAGCGCTGGCCGCCTGCGCTGAGCCAAAGCGGGGGTGGCGGGGAGACGAGGAAAGGCTCGGGCCTCCTGAGCGCCAGGAGGAGCAGGGTGAACAGCGATGTTCTGCGGAAACACTGCCCCTTTCCGTGCTACAGGCAAGTGTGGAATCCTTTCCTCTGTCTGTCGCATTTAATGAACATTCCAGCCCTTGAAGCATATGTATTCTTTCATTAGAATTATCATTTGCATAAAATGTTCATACAACAGCTCAAGAATTTTTAATTTTATTAAATTTTCATTTAATGAATAATAATCCTTAAAATACTATTAACAAATTGCATTCTTTCTACTTGACAGTTCAGTAAAATTATCTTTCTGGTAAGCAAAATTTTGCTTCTCACATTTTATTCTTACTTTGATAAAAGAACAAGACTCTATGATAATCTGTATAATTTTAAAATATCTCAAACTCGACTGCATTTCAATATATAATTCTGAGGAGAAGAATTCTAAGAAGAAAGTGCTAAAGGCACATATCTCAGGGCGATAGAAGTCAAATGCACAAAAATGTTAAGGAAGACAATACAAATACAGAAAGCTGAACATTATCTTCTGATTACTGCTTTAATTCTAGTCACTAGTTTCTGATATCACTATTTTTCAGAAATTCTGCAACTTTGCCAATTTCTCTTTCTCCTGTAAACTAATGAGGAGGTTTAATTGTAAAGGAAAAGTATACTGTTGTTCTTATTGTTTATATTTAGTTTTAAATTGGGTTATTTTCTAAATCCATTGTATCCCTTTAAGAATGTGTTGGTTGTTATAGTTCTATTTTACAGAAACCTGTGGGGTTTGAAGGACCAAATATATGTTTAAGTTTTATTTTTATTTTTGGTTAATTTCAGACTAAGATACCTTTTTGTTCTCGTATATATTTACATAAGCTTATATTACTTTAGTCTGCTTTAGCATTTTTTTTAGGTCCTCTTGATTTGTTTTGCAATGAGAGTGATGTGTTCAAGTCTCATACTTTTCCCTGTTTCTCTGTCTCTTTTGAATCACATGTCAGCTCAGTTTTATTTAGTTGTCCTGGTAGCTGGTGCAGAGACGTTCACAGAGCCTTCCTCATGGGTTGCGCCTGTAGCATGCTATAGCATCCTTGCTGATGCCTTGTATTCTGCCTTGACTATCGAAAGGATTGCAATGCATCCTTTCTTGTTTCTTCTTACACACTTCAGCCCATCCCTTTATTTTAAGCTTTTCAAAGCTGCATTATTTTAGATTTGTTTCATGCATGCAGAATATAATTGAATTTTACTTTGTGAACCAGTTTGAGAATGCTTACCTTTTCAAGAGCGAGTTAAATTTATTGTATTTAATGTTCTACTTTACCTTGACAAACTCAGTAACATTATTTGGTGCTGTGTGTGTGTGTGTGTGTGTGTGTGTGTGTGTATAATGTTGTTTTTATTATTTTTAAATGTGAACTGGTTTTCTTTGGCTTTGCCTGTAAATTTTACTCTTCCTTACTGCCTGTTGTAAGCAGGAATGACCTTGCCAGGGCCCACACTGCTCCCTAATTTGGAGGAGAAGGAAGGGGAAGCAGACACAGGCAGAAGAGAGGAGATAGGAGGGGAGCCCCTCTCTGACCTCGAGCTCTCCTGGGAGCAGCCCTGCCAGCCCCAAGCTACACCTGTGTCACTGCCTCACCCTGGAGTGGGGGTAGCATGGGCTCCAGAAGGGACACAGCTGACCGCAGCTGTCCGGGATCTCTGTCAGTGAAGGGCTCCACCACCTTCTCCGCAGCCTCCTGCTCACTGAACCCTGTGCATCCTCCAGAGTTTATTTCTTTACCTATCTGAGAGTCATCTACGTGATAATTTTGTCTCCTAGTTTTGCCGTAGGTGTGTCAAGGGTGGTCCCTGTGCACGCTAGTTCCGTGTGGGTTTTTGAAGGCTTTATGGACAGAATCTGGTGGAGTGAGTCGCTTCCATAGAAACAGATTTTTCTCTTATTCCATCAAACCAGTTATGTCGCGCTTTCATACTGCACATATGATTTATTAGACAAAGAAAAATATGCAAATGGAGCAACAACTTCTGGATGACACTCAGGACAGAATTCTGTGCCTGGACGGAGTGAAGTGGGCAGACAATCTCTTCTGTGCCATGACAGTTCTCCCGTCAGTGCCTGTCTTTGTCTGGATGAGGACATCCTTGAGTAGGATGAGGCCATAGCAGTGGGGAGACTGGAGAGGGTGCTGTGAGGACAGAGGAGAGGAGGGCGTAGACTCCCACACAGGGCTGGTGTGGCACCCCGAGAGTCATAGCCTTGCACGCTTCTGTCCCTGTTCCCTTTGGAAATAGCAACTGCTTCATGTGACAGGCTCAGCCGCCTGCGCCCCTGGGCCAGGGGAGGATGTGTGAGGCCTGCCTGGCCTGGAGGCTCTGCTGTGTGTGGTGAAGGCAGAGGGTATCTCAGAGCAGACTTAACATGCAGTCCTGCTATCGGTGGAGAGAGCAGGTGAGAGGCAGTTAGGGTGGCTCTGAGAGAGTCTGCAGAATAAACGAAGGTAAGCACAAAGGCGTGAGTGTAGGGAGACCCCAGGAGAAGGTGCTTTGTGAGACAGGCAGGAGGATCAGGTGGGGTCGTGAGGTGAGGATGTGGGGGAAACTCCCTGCATTTCGGGAATAGCAGTGAAACCCAAGAAATAAAACTGGAAAAGATGGGAAAGATAGCATGGTGGCTGGCAGGTGCTGGAGAAAGGAGCTGGGCCTTTACAGATTGAATGAGAGGACGATATTGGGGAAAAACTAAAACTTTGCATAGAGTCGTGACAGCAGTGATTCTAGAGATTCTCACCTTATGAAGTCTGGCCTGCGGATTTTGTGTTAGAAGTGGGAGAAACTGAAAACAAGAGATCTGCGAGACTGTTCCTGTATTCCATGGTCATGAGGACTTGAACACAGCAGTGGGAGGGTTGCGAGGTCCTGAGAAATAGGGAAGAATCACATGCCCCATCCAATCTAAACTAAAAAGAGAAGACAGAAGGAAAAGAAATACTTGTTTTCTCTTAAGTGATTTATAATAATGCCTTCAACAGTGATTGAGCTCCTATGAAATGGACGTGTAGTTTGGTGCTGGCAGAGGAGAAGGTCTTGCAGAACCGGAACAGACTGTTACTAATGGGCCTCTGCCACTGTAGTCGCCCCAGAGAAGCAGTGCATCGTGTAGGGTTCGAAAGCACCCCTCCAAACACTCTAATAACCAGCCTTCTCACCGCAGCTATTGATCCTGTGATGAAAACTCACTGTCAGGAGCTTTAAAAGCCTTCCGATGTCATTTATTGATTTCTACTTCAAAAATAATTTTCCCTGAGAACAGTTTTCCCTCGTGGCCAGGCCTGCAGCCCGAAGCCAGGGCAACCCAGGGGAAGGCACCCACTCTGTGGGGAGTCCAGGAGCAGGGTGGGGGAGGCCTCCCCACGCTCGCTGCTGCTATCGCCTTCTTGCTTACTGGTGAGGCCAGGACAGAGCTCAGCACTCTGCACCAAGCATCTGAGAGTAAAGGGGCTGCTAGAAGCAGCTCCATCCACCTCACCACGGGCGCCCTCCAGCCTTGGGAACCAGCTTTCTTGCATCATTGATCCCTAGCAGTGCTCCTGGCCTCACTCTCTCTAAACTCATGAGAACTTTAACGTATGATGACAGTCTTTCTAGGATCCTCTGGACCTTGAAATAAATCACAGATATTTCAAAATATTCTAATACATTGAAACACTAGTGCTCAGAGAGAAATTAAGCCAGAAACCTTCCCATTTGTTAATAGCCATTGTATCAGGTATGTGATGTTATTTCAAAAT